AGTTGGGAGTTAGGAAAAAGTGTAATGACCCAGCACCTGACTGAGAAAACATTTTGGATACTGGGCTTTGAGTAGAGTGCTTGCCACTTAATAGGAAATCAGTAAATACTTGTTTAATTAATGAATGAAGAATCAGTTAATTTACCTGTTAATGAAATGATGAAAAGTATAAATAGTAATTTTTTTCTCCTGTATTAATGAACTTTTAAACTTACAACCTTCATGTTAAAATTCAGAAAACCAAGTTACGACAATCTGAAGAAGTTCTCTCTTGGAGAAGATGTTGTTAATGATGTGAAAAGATCAATTGCTGTTACTTGTTAGGGTAGATCTGTATATAATGTGTCCTGGTGTAATTTTTAAAACTTCCTAGAAACTCTTCTAATACTTTGTTTTTTATGTTAATGAATTATCCCTCAAAGGGGGATTCTTACGTTAGCTTATAAAATGTTTCTGGATAGTGGTTTCCCTCCTTATGTGTTCATTTTATTGTATTATCCTTTCCTTGTAATGTAACTCGCCCTTACCCCTTATCCTCCACACCTTTTTTGTTTTTGCAGTATCTCTTGCTCCTCCTCCTCCCTCCATCCTACAGGTAACTCCTCAGTTACCTTTAATGGGATTTGTGGCCAGAGTCCAAGAAAATAGTAAGTTTACATCTTCTTTATGCTGTAGATCAGTTTATAGGCATAAGATGTCATTTATATATGATTGGCTGAATAGTCATTCACTTACTGATCCTTCAGATATTTAAGTATTATGTTCAAGTCATATGAGTGGAGTAGTAATGATAAAATAATTAAGAGGAAGTTCTGTACTTACAAACAGCTTAAAATCTAGTAGTGAAGATAAGACAAATAAATACAAGGTGGCACATAGAAGAAGAGAAAGACCTTGTCCAATGGGGGCGATCTTGCTAAGTCACCAGACACCCTGTTTTCCCTCAGGGTTGCTGAGACAGATAGAGGATAGTCCAGTTTTCTGTCATTGGAGTGTTCTCTAACACTGTTGGGAATAGCTCCAGCATTTTCCTCTAGTCCTGTGATTCCATGCATATGTCAGAATGACCATTCCATGGTAGGTCCCAGAAGACCAAGTTGCTGGTCTGTCTCTCAGGAAGCCACCTCATAGATTGGCAATAAATTTAGCTTGGCCTGGGGGCTGGCTGGTGTTCAGCCATTCAGGATCAGATAACTGATTTTGCCCACACATTGAACCTTCTCTAGTGAAGGATTAAAGAAGCTGAGGAGACTGGTGTCTACAAATCAGGCCTGTGTTAATGTTCAGGGAGAAATTGAGATCACAGAGACCCATCTAGACTATTTGATACAGGAATGTTTACCTTGTGAGCAGTCTACATGATGAGCCACATAATCATAGGATTACATGATGGGCATGGATCAGAATGAGGGAAATTACATTAATTAGACTTAATGGCTTCAGGCTGAAGTAGCTCACTGTATCCACCTCATAAGGATGGCCTCACCAATGGCATAGACATTTGCAGTCTGTTGCCTAGGGCTCATGCACCTTATGAAATGGGCATTGCCAATGCTAGAGTGTAAGCTCTATGAGAGCAGGGAATTTTTTGCCTGTTTTTTTTCAGTGGCTCTTTCCCTAGCACTTAGAAAAGTATTTGACACAGAGTAGGCATCTTTCATTCCTCCTTTTTTGTGCTTTTGTAACTGACTAATTGCTCCCTTTTGGTTAAGTGATTCTGTTTTAACTGGTTATAATCCAACCTTACTGGTTTGAGAGCTTAGTTTCTCTTTCAGGTGCCTTTACATACCTATTGGTGACTACTGGAAGCAATCTATTACTTTGGTTTATTGGGAGGTTCCGCATGAGCACCTCCAATATTAACCACACTGAGATTTCTTAATGTACTTTGTTAAATTTAAGAGCTATTTATATATATAATCAGGTAGATTTCATAAGCTTTGAAGTTACGCTATTGAGATCCACTGTTCTTTTGGCTTGGGTTGACCCATGCAAGCTTAGGGAGAAGGTGGCCTCTCAGTGAGGTTCAGTTGGTTCAGTGTACAGCACAACCACAGTCTGACCCTTTGCCAAGCTTGTGAGGTCAAAAAATTCACCTTGGAAAGGTGTATACCAATGTTTGGAATTATCTTCAGACCTTTTCAGGTACATTATTTTGAAAATACTCCGTGGTAACAAATATTTACTCTGCATTAAGTTTGATTTTAGGAAGAAGACCGAATTTTTCCGAACCAAGTTGCTATGGGTCGAAATGGACTCAGTGGCACCCAACAGCATAGTGAACAGTTACACTGGGATAAGTAGTGCAGCTGTGATCCTAGTATTCCCCTCCTCAGCATCTTTCTCTGGCTCCTTAGTGCCCTTGAGAAAGCCCACAGTGCCACAAGGCCTTCCTGCCTGATTCTCTCCAGTCTCCTCGGGCCTCTTTCTACCTCCAGCTCTTCACCCAGCCACGCTGAATATTGGTCAGTTCTTTGAAGAATTCCTGTACTTACCCTTGCTCTTACTTTTTTTTTTTTTCATGGAACATGAAGTATCCATCGTCCCATCACCTGCTGGCCACTAACTCTTACTCTTTAGGTCTCAGGAAGCCTTCCCTGAAGCATGTAAGAGATGTGGTCCCCTGATATGTGCTCCCATAATACCTTAAAGCATTTGCTACACTTAATGAATGTTTGGCTGTTCATGTTTCCATGACTTTCCCACTGCTCTTTTCTTAATGCTGAGCACACCCGTTGTAGGCTCTCAGTTGATGTTTGCTAAATGAATAATAATGAAGTGTGACTTTAAAGTTATTTGATTTATCTCATGCCAAAGTGTAGCTTTAAGACCACAGGCATTGGAGTTCAAATTCCTGCTCTCCCACTTGTTGTGTGACCTCGTGTAAATTACTTAATCTTGGAAAGCCAGCTTCCACATCCATAAAATGAATATTAAAAACACCACCTCCCAAGATTGTAAAGATTAAATGAAGTAATGTGTCATAAAGTGCTAACTCTATACTTGGAACACTCTTAAGTCTTCAAAAATGGTAGTTTATGATGATGGTATTATTAAACTGGCTCTGAGGCAGTTATAAGAAAAGTTAAAAATGAGCAATGAATGGAAGCATCTGAATAATTTTGTAGTATAATCTCTCAAGGTAATTGTTTTGAAAGAATTCCTTTGGATCCTTGTTTTTGTCAAGTTATTTAAAGTTAAAGGTTATGGATATAAATAGGATATATTGTTTTTCTTACACCAACTGTGTGTAATTTTTCATAAAGTATACACAAAAAGCACTTATCTGTATGTTTTGTTTATTAAAACCATTACGACTAAACGGTGTTTTTAATAGATAAAGTCCCAAAGCTCATAAAGAATATAGGTTAAAAAGTGCAGAGGAGACAGCAGAAGAAGAAAACTGAAGAGAACAGAGTAGCACGTTGACGTGGATAGTTCTCGGCAGGTAGCAACAGTCTTCTAAAGTCCATTTGGTTCTATCAGTAGACTAGAAAATAAATAAGACTTCCTTGAGAATCTCACTGAAACATACTGGTGCCTCATAAATAAGAATCAGTAGTGTTGAGTAAAACTAGGCAGTTGACAGATACGAGTTCATGCAATTTATTCTGTTGAGCTATGCTCAGGTATGCACCAAGCATCTTAAAAGCCTTGAGTTCTCTGAATTTGGAGATAATCTTTTAGATATCACTATATATGCTTGACTGCTAACCAGAAGGCTGGCGGTTCAAACCTACCAGCCACTCTTCGGAAGGAAGTTTGGGCAATCTACTTCCATAGTGATACTGCCTCGGAAACCCAAGGAGGGGTCGCTATGAGTCAGGTCTGACTCGAGGGCACATAACAACAACA